AATTCAGTAATCCTGGCCTCCAGAGCTGCAAATATGCTACATTTGTTACAGATATCATTACTGCTAAAGGAGGCCGAGGAGTAACTAAACATCTGACACAAGGAGCAAGAAAGTGCAGGAGGGACAGGTGAAGTAGCCATGGTGCTAACGAGTCGGCTACGAGCTAAGCTAAGCTAGCGAAACCATAAAGACACAGGGAGTGTGCTTCGGATGAAGCACATGAAGATTATACTATGAAAATGAATGTATTTAAAAGGTTTTAATTAAATTGCAGATAAGCTACTCAGAAACACCACTGTGTGTTTGAGCAGGAACAGGAAGTGATACCGCAGAGCGAGCGAACACCAGGTGACGCGCTCATTCAGCCCAGTGTTAAACACAAAGAGGCGGAGCCATTACCGACTCACTGAGCTCAGGTAGAATGAAAGAAACAGCTGCTTGAGTCCTTCATCAAACTGTGACGTGAAGTAAAGCTCCGCCCACCGCTGCACACACAAATCTGCAGATGATCGGAGGCGTGTTTAAAACGCTCACAGGGGCGTGGGGTGTACCACGCCATATTTATTTTCAAGGATTTCTGAACAGTTTTCAGGTTGAGAGTGAAACGTTAGTTACATTTCATTAAAATATAAAAATAAACCGATGGTGGTCGGGTCAGTCGACGCCATCATAACATCAGAAACACTTCAGAACGCTGACACGCTCGCTGTTGTACATCACAGACACGTGTACGTCCATAAAGGCACCCATATGGAAAAGATATATATAAATCTTATAAAGTTTTTATTTGTCTTGTATGAAACTTGTATGAAAAGCATACAAGAGTGAAAACAGATATAAGATCCCTTGAAAAATTATATAATGAAACTTGTATGTTTCGTATACTTACTAAAAAAATATATTTTTACTCATGATTTACTTTCATGAGTAAATCATGTATGTTTTTACTATTTCTTTTCCATATGGGCACACACATACACGCCGTGTGAGTATTTGGACGCTGCAAGGATAAAAACGATTGGTCACTAAAGCTCTGGATGTCTGATCGGCGGCCATGTTTAAAACTGTCGTCTGTGCAGGCGGTGCGAGCAGACGCCGCCCTCAGCGTGGCGCAGGCGCAGCACCTGCGACAGCAGCAGGAGGACAACAGCTGCAGGGACTGGGCGGAGGTGCTGCAGGCCCGGCTGATGGAGGAGCAGAGGAGTCGTCTGCAGCTGGAGGAGGAGCTGAGGCAGCAGGAGCAGAAGAGCAGCTCTCAGATCAGCACGAAGCAGGTGGGTCAGAGGTCAGAGGTTACCCTTTTATGAGGAGAATGATGATGACCGCTGCCCGCAGCAGCGACAGGCCGTCCCTCTCACTGCATTACAGCTGTCACTTCCTGTGTGTGTGGCGTTTAGGATCAGTACGAGAAGGCAATGGCGGCGCTGCAGCAGAGGGCGGAGGATGTGGAAACCAAACTGAAGGCGGTCCGTCTGCTCCTGCAGGAAAAGGTGGAGCAGCTTAAAGAGCAGGTGAGCGTTGGCGCCGCTTCTCCGCCATTCACAAACGTCCGATCGAACTTTGACCCGTTGCCGTTTTTCCCACAGCTGGCGAGGAACGCCAAGTCGAGCGCACTGCTGAAGGACCTGTACGTGGAGAACTCGCAGCTGATGAAGGCGCTGCAGGTCACCGAGCAGCGGCAGAAACGCGCCGAGAAGAAGAACTTCCTGCTGGAGGAGAAGGTCGGCGCGCTCAACAAGCTGCTGAGGGACATCGTCCCTGCATCGCTCGCCACATAACCATGCCAACGCAGAGCAGAAGGCCCCAGCAGGAGGGGGCGGGGCCTCACCTGTGCCCTGTGTGGAGCAGGTGGATGTCTGGAGCACACACACGTTCGGTGTGTCAGTATTATCTTTGTTTATAATGAAACTTTTTTTTATTTTTGCGTCATTGAAATAAAGTTTTAATGTCTCTGTGACTCCGCCTCCTCCAGCTGATTCACTTCCTGTCACATATCATGTTGTAGGAGTTACACAGCAAATCGCTGGTTTTCATTGTTAGTCTCAAACGATCAACATTGAAAGTCTGCGGTGTCAAACATGCAGCTCGGGGGCCAGAACCGGCCGCCTGAGCGCCTTTTGTTGTGATTTGGCGCTATATGCTATATGCTACATAAATAAAATTGAATTGAATTGCTCAGGTCCGGTGTGAGCTGTGAGGAGCGAGTGGGAGAAAGCCACGAGGACGCGACGGTCACGGCTTTAAAGCTTCAGAGCTCTGCTCTTTTATCTTTATGTCATCTTACCTTTATCTTTTTAATCAGACGTCCCGGCGACGCCGAGCTCCTGGAGCCAATAACCGCAGCGATAAACTCGATCAGCTGAACCTGAACATCAACATTTTATTTGATTTCAAAGTATGATTACAGGTTTACAGGTAACGCTTCACACCTGTGCTGACGTACACTCACTGGCCAATGTCATGATGATGTCATATCCACATGGACCAGAGTCTGAGGAAAACTTTCACCTTGTTGAATCTGAGACGCTCTGGAGGTCCATGATGGCATATGCCTGTCTAATCCGGTCTTTAAGTGACGGCGTATGAACTCTGGGTCCAAACTACTGTTTATTAAGGCTGTTGTGTTTTTAACATGTTTTAATGTTTTGTATCTTGTTCTGTTTAATCAGTGATCACTGTCGGCCTCTGTTTTTAAACCCTTCTAATGTAACTACAGCCCATGCAGCAGTATATGAATGACTAACCTCGTATTGTGGATGGATTATCTCAGTTGTTCTCCTGACTGAAGTCTGGTCCTTTTACAGCATCCTGCCATGCGATTACATTTGTCTCTAACCATCAGTAACCCTCATGTTAACTTTTATACAGTGGAAAGAAGTTAGTGTTCATCCTCCAGCTTCACTGTGAGCTTTTAAATAAAGTAGGCGGAGCTTGAAAAAAACAATTTATTATCCCATCAGAAGAAGAGCCCAGAATAAAGGTGAGTGCAGATGTTTTCCAGCTGCTGAAACATCTGCATCGTCAGGACACCACATGCTCCAGGACGCCCTGACGAATCAGCTGCTCACATTTCCACCGCGGCAGGAAGTGCTGAGGACAGAGGAGACGTTACCATGACAACTTGAAACATTTCACATGTTTTTAAACAGTAGAAGAAGAAGAGTGGCATCCCGTCCTCACCTGGCTGTTCTTCTTCAGCAGGATCACAGTGCCGTCGTCAATCTCAAACTCGCCGTGGTCCTTGAGACACCTCACCTGAAAAACAAAGACAGATGTCGGCGTCAGTGCTACGAGGTCATGCTGCAGCTAAAGGTCAAAGGTCAAATGTCTCACCTCTATGTAGAGGCTCTTTGGAGGCTTCATGTCCTGCGTGATGTCAAGACCCTCATCGCCCCCCAGAGAGCGCATGAAGGAGGCCAGAGACTTCTTATACTGACTGAACCACTGCAGCTAAAACACACACACCTGTCAGCTGATTTGCCACACACACACACACACACACAGAAACACACACAGAAGAGCTACAGTACGCTCTGCTGCCTCTTTCACAATAAAAGCCCCCCCCTGAAGTGAATTATTCAGGCTTTTAAAGTGAAAGTTTACAACAGCCAATAAAAAGAGCAACAGAGCATCAGCATCACCTGAGAGAAAACACAGGAAGTGATGTCACACTCACCTCCTCTGCACACATGTGGAAGCGAACATTGGCGGGCAGCACGCTGCCGTACTCCCAGCGCAGCGCTCTGATCCTCAGCAGCCGGTCGTACCTGCGACAAAGATCAGCAAAGGTCATTGAGGAGAAAGGTGAGGCAGAGAGAGGTGGTCACATGACTGCAGGTGTGGTTACAGGTAGGCAGTGACGCAGCGCTGGTTCCTCAGCAGGCAGCAGTGGCGCAGTTTGATGGAGGGAATCAGCTCGGCGCGACCTTCGCTCTTCGCCTCGTTCCTGAAACACACGAACATCAGCTGATCAGTGATGCCGTCAGTCGCACCTGTCTGTGTGACACTCAGGTGCCAGAGAGGATGCTGGATGGGGTCCCGCTGAGCAGTTTGGGGTGGGCGGGGCCTTCATGACACTCTGAACCAGCACTCAGGTGGTGTTCCTCCTTTTTAGAAGGAGTTCTGGAGGATGTGCTCCAGCTTCAGGAGAATCACACTCCTCAGCCTCCCTGAGCCTGGTTCTGCTGGAGGTTTCTTCCTGTTAAAAGGGAGTTTTTTCTCTCCACTGTTGCCAAAGTGTCTGATCGAAGGCTGACTCGGTTTCTCGGTGTTACTGTAGGGTCTTTACATTTACCTGAGGCAACTGTTGTTGGAAATTTGTTGCTGTATAAATACAATTTTATTTAATTCATGAGATAAAATTTTCATTGCATTTAGTATTATTTATTGCTTTTATTGTAACATTAACTGTAGGTGGTTTTGGACCCAGTATCGTTATTTTAAACTGAAACTGAGGCCCAAAGCTTCACATGGCTTCCTGTTTATTTGATACGGATTTCATGGGTTTTAAAACCTGCTATGAGAGGGAGGAGCAAGGTCACGGGAAGTGTAATCTGGTCATGGTCAGGTTAACAGAAACCTGGATCCAAACCCTCAGACCCTGGGAACCCTGAGGAAACCTGCACAGATCAGCCTGCTGTGGACTCACACGTCACTCTGGTTCTGCTCGTAAAGCGCCTCCATCTCCTGCAGCACCTGTCGCAGTCCATCCTCCTGAAACGCAGAAACCAAACCAGTTGTGAGTGAGGCTCAGTGATCTAATGGAGCAGCACCTGGTGGAGGCACAGACCTCCACAAAGCACCACTGACTTGTTATTACTCTACACACGAGTTTGACAGCACTTTGATAATTCAGCATATGCAGGAAATGATTCACCACGAAGAGCCCAACATAACTAGATATTAACTGTGTGCTGCTGGCTGCACATCGATGTCGTTAAAACAGCCGACATGTAATGCAGTGCTTGTTATGTGTAAACATGTTTAGATGAGATCTCTAAGACGCGCGTAATTCTGTCCAACACTTTTCAGAGTCCGTTTTCTTAAATTCCCCTCATTGGTCAGTATTTGAATCATCCGACCTGAGCCGAAGTTTAGTCCTGTGTCTGCACTGACTGACGATGTGTTTGCGATGCCTCACAGACCGGTTATTCTGCTCTGGGCAGCAGGTAAATGTTAAAATATCCGGTTTGTGAATGGAGTCCGCTGCCTCTGAAAACCGGGTGAAGCCCTGGGTTTTCGCCGGGATCACTCACGTTAAACGCGGGCAGCTGTCCGTCGCTCATGCGGTGCAGCTCTCTGATCAGCTCGATGGCTTTTTCGCAGAACATCGTGGCACCTCAAAAACGAGCAGAATCCCGGCGAATCTCTCCGTTGGGCCGCGACACGCTCCTACTTCACCGGGCGGCTCACGTTCGCGGTAAAAACAATGTTTTGATCACGTGACCGTTCCAGGCGCAGCTCCGGAAGCCGCGTTGGGTCAAACCTCCGACTCCGCGACACGAAGCGGGCAGCTGCGATTCCTAAAAGCTCGGGAAGAGTCGGAGATGCGGTGAAGCGGCTTCATTTGAGCCCAACTCAGAGGTGAGAGTGACCGTGCTAGTGCTGGTGTCGCCGTGGGCGGGAAAGCCGTCATTTACCGTCAGATCTCAGTTCTATCCCGTAGCGTGACTTCCGGTAAGCGCAGCGGCTAAAAATAAAGCCGTCATCCCGACAGGAGCCTCTGACAACCGGGAACAGGACGAGCCGGACTCACTGGCTCTGTGTGAGTTCATAAAGCCGCCTTTAACGCACTTTCCGCCGCTTATTCCTGGGTTAGCGTCACTGTTAATACTGCGTTCACGTTCCACCGGAAAAACGAGCTCTCTGCAGCAAAATCCCTCAAAAATAAGTCAAAACTTCCGGGGTGATCGTGGGTTTCATCCACGCTTCCAATCAAATACACATCACTCCAGCTGCTTATCAGGGAATTACTTGATCTTTGTGGTGGCTTCTCTTTGTGGGACTTATTTGATCCTCAGTGTCCTGATGTCGATTCATAAATGTTTTAGTTTGTGATTTTTGGGTGTGTATTGGAATGAAATACAATGAATAAATCACGATAGAAGCTACTTAAATATTCCAACAGATAGACAGAGATCACAGCTTCTCACGCTTCACTTTGGTCACGTCCTTCTGGGCGTTTCTTGACTTTCCGAGCTGCCCCTGAGAGCCCCGTGCGCTTCCTTTTTTCTTCATTCTTTCTTTAATCCTCATAAACCGGTTTTGTTTTGATTGTCGTTGCTCCGACGCTCCCCGGAGGCCGTGGACGCGTCACTGTGCGCCCACGTGGTTGTGTTACCTGCGCTGCGGTTGGCTGCGGCAGATCTGCTTCAGATCAGCTGCTCTCTGCGGATCTCGGCGCAGGCACAGTGGGGACTCGGCTCCGTGCTCACCGGCTCTCAGCGCTCCGTCACCCGCACAGCAGCCGACGACGGGGGTATCCTCCGGTTAACATCCGCTTTCAATCACGTTTCCAGGCATGCGTAAGCGGACCAACTCGCAGACAGCGGAGCATGACAGCGGGACCACCGGTACTCTGCTGGACAGCGACACGGACCTGAAGCAGCGCACCGGCAGAGAAGCGGCAGGGCCCGCAGCAGGCGGCCGGCAGGGCCCGGGAGCGGACCGGAGCATGGCCAAACCGTTCCGGAGGTGAGAGGCGGGACAGGTACTTGTGATGCTGAAGCATCGCGTTATTTAGATGAAAATCAGTGTGATGTGAAGTGAATTCAGTTTCATAGAAAAATATTTGTTTTTGCTGCTTTTCTACTCAAGTTTATTAATTTAAGAATAATCAGTGCTGAACAGTGAGACAGTCAACAGCGATAAAGGTACAAGTACATAATGATAAGTCTGTGAAGGTTCTCAGTCATCCAGGTCATCGTAGTCAAAGGAGCTTGCAAAACAGAGGCGGGGTTTACCACACCAACTCTCTGCCATCTATAATCCAGTTTTGAGATCCTTCCCAGACGCCCAAACGCCCACTCACATCCTGGGCCATCTGACCTCAGGAATTCACATGATAAGGTGGGGCCAGGTTTCACAATGAACTCACCCGAAACTCTGGCTGATTGGGACCCATACCCAGTTTCACACCTTGGCTCAGGCGATTAGAGGATCATCAGGGGGTCCTTTTGTCCCTCTGTGGGGGCCACTCCCACTAGGTTTATATCTGGGACTCTCCACCATTTGACCTTAGAACTGAAGAAGCTTCTCGGATGAGAGGTGAAACGTCTTCAAGCAACTTAAAGAAGTCCAGACGCTTTTCTTTGCAAGCTCCTTTGACTACATAATGATAAGCAGCTCACATGTAAATAGAAATAAGAAGAAACACCAGTGAAATGGAAAGTTAAAAATTACACCTCGAAAAAGAACATTTTATAGAAAATGCTTAAAAACTGAGTTGAATAAACAGCTTATTAAAAAACGTCACAGAGGAGACCAAAAGTGTCCCGTCTGGGTGATCAGAGCCGGGTTGTCAGCTATTTCCTCAGCGTGCTGGAATTTTGACCCTCGTGCTAGATCTGATTGTGGGGCGGCATTTCTGGTCCGACTGGTTTCACCGAGGCCGGCGAGCTGGTCAGACTGGAAGCTGCAGGTCGGACTGAATAAAGCAGCGCCTCGTTCAAAGCTCTGAAGCTGCTCTTTGTTTACTGCAGCAGGAAACTTTACATCGAGATGCCAAAGATATTTACCTGCCACAGCTGACACACTCACGCTGTCGCAACATCATCATCATCACGTTTAGTTTAACCGAGTCATCTGTGGTTACAGCCACAGGAAGTCAGCAGTTACAGCAGCTTCACTGAGAGACAAACAAACATGAAGCTGCTGTGATTCTGACGTTCTCTCCATCAGGATGACGCTGACACTTTCTGTGAGAGCTTCGTCATCAGGTCGGCCTTCATCCCGACTTTATTGTTGAGTGTTCGGTCACGGCTCAGAGCTTCGTAGGACCGCCTCCAGCAGCACATCACAGTTGGGGCTGAAGAAGGCTCTCAGGCTCCGCCTTCACAGCCGCCCTTTAATGAAGGAATTTAAAGAAAATACTCCAAAAAAACAAAGCGACTCTTTTCTGATCTTTAATACACGAAGAATGTCAGAGTTTAACCCCAGCTCGGCCTGTCAGGTCCACTCTTCTTCTTTGGTTTAATCCTGATTAGATCTCTGCAGCTCGCACGCCAGCAGGAGGTCACCTGAAGCACAGGTCAGGCCCAGTGCATCCTGGGACGTTGACGCTGTCGTTTTGGGCTGTTTGGTCACATTGAAACCTTTGAACAAACGACGTGAGCTCAGACCTTCGTCATCAGCATTTTATTGACTTTACAGGGCAGAAAAATGCGACACGTTTAAATATTTGGACGATAAATGATGTTAAAACGTTTTCGTCATCATTTGTTCTGTAAAATGATTTTCAGCTGTTTTAAAACAAACATTAAAAACACGTTGAACTGTTTTCTGATTGGTTTGCTTACGCAGACACACTATCTCCACGGTGACCGTCACACACCTGTACACACACCGCCGCGGCGGCTCGTTAAAGCGATGGAGCGCCGACGGCCTCGTGGTCAGTGCTTAGTCACGTTGAAAGCGAGCGCTGCCGCCGCGTCTGACCAACCTCACGCACAGGCGAGCGCTAAAATGGCACCTGTCACGTGATGACGTCAAACAAGAAGAGGAAGTGACACGGGATCCGCCGTCTGAGCTCAGACGCCGACAGGAAGTGACCTTGCTGCTGCTGACGTGTGTTAAAGCTGTGTGTCACGGGTTTGAGTCCATGTGTCATCACTTCCTGCAGAATCAGCTTGTGAAAGAAGAAGTTCTCCTCCTGACGCCGAGTCAGCGTCTCGACCTCAAACACAGGTGACCTTTGACCTCTGACACACTTTTAAGGGAGTCACTGTGAAACACGTAGCAGCGTTTTATTATATCGAGTCAGCAGCACTGCAGGCATTACAGTGGGAGTCCAGCTCGCCACGAACACGAGGATCCAGCTGTGGCGAGGAGGTGGTCCAGGTCAAAGAGGCGGGGCTTTAGAAGCTGTTTGTAGATAAAAACATTGATTTCCTGCTTATGTTCATCATTACAGCCACGATCAGACAGGAAGCTGTGTGTGCGTGCACGTGTGTGTGTGCGTGCGTGCACGTGCGTGCACGTGTAAACATGCTGCTCTCAGGACAGCTGAAGGTCTGCAGACTCTCACTCATCAATGAATAATTCAGGTCTGCAGCTGCAGCGTCCTGTTACAGCAGCAATACCAATACAGCTGATCAGCTTACACACACACACACACACACACACACACACGCTCAGATGTCACCTTCACATGTTGTCCTCGTTCGGGTCCTGGGAGAAAGCAGCTGCTTCCAAACTTGAATAAACTTTATTTAAACGGTGGACGCGAGCATGCGTTGCTCACACATGTTGTGTGCGTTATTTTCAGAGTTGTGTTTCTTGCAGTTTCCAGGGTTTATTCATGTCTCGTGTCTTTGGCAGCTCGATCGTTGTCAGATGCAGATTAATGAATAAAAATGTAATAAAAGTCAATCCTGTGTCGGGTCGACGGGCGGACGCCGAGATAAACGCCACAGAAACTTTCTATTAATTACTGTGTTGTTAAAATGAGCGGTCACATGATAACACAGTGAAATGTGTATTTAATGTCAGCTGAGGAGTAAAAGTCACAATAAAAATCAATGTACAGAAAGTTCAAACCAAACAATCAGGTTTGTTTCTGTCACGTGTCCGACGATCTGCACGCCTGTCACACGTGTCACGCTGAACTTGTCACGTGTGGGTCATTCAGGATGTTGTGCTGTTTTTGTGTGTCCCAGTGAGTAGGCGGGGTTTAAATAAAGTTATTTTGAATGTCTGTGCTCAGGTTGGGTCTGGTGGGGAAGCTGAAGAGGGTGGTGTTGTGGCTGCTGCTAGTCTACGTCTCCATTCCCTTCATCATCAAGCTGTGTCCGTCCATCCAGGCCAAACTCGTCTTCCTCAACTTCGGTGAGTCAGCGTGTCCCGAATCGGCCAATCGGAGCGTCTGTGTGAGCAGGCGCTCCTTTATTTATTAAAACCTTTCGTTAACACGCAGTAAAAGAAACCTCGATGAATCGTTTCAGACCCCGGCCGCCTGCCCCTCCCAGGTCCTGCTCTGGTCGAGGTCTCTTCCTGTTAAAGGGAGTTCTTCCTCCCCGCTGTCACGAGAGCTCCTGGGCTTCTCTTACCTGAGTGAATGACTAGTCTCGGTTAGAGAGCGTTCGTCGTCCAATCAGACGGCATCAAACAGTCCGTCTGACTCAGTGAAGTTTAGAAAACAAAGTGTTGGTCCGGTGATTGTCACAGACATCAGTCTGTCCACGTCACCTGCACAGGTGCACTGCAGAAGACAAAGTGCCACGCCCACATTTCTCCTTAAAAGGAAGGATGTGAAGGTGCAGCTCGGTTTCCTCGCGGTGATGGGGGGCTAAAACTAGCAGCGAGGCTCAGGTGGAACCCACACAGCAGAGGGAGGGGCTAATTACCGTTAACTTGTAATGATGGCAGGAAGCATTGTGACTGGCGAGGAACCCTGTGTGTCAGTGAGCAGTCATGTGATCAGTATGTGACCTTTGACCTCCTCCCCCTCAGTGAGGATGCCGTACTTCATCGACCTGAAGCGACCTCTGGACCAGGGATTGAACCACACACACAACTTCTACCTGGAACCTGAGAGCGGGCTGAAGATCGGAGTCTGGTAACACACTCACACACAGAGACACACACACACACACACACACACACACACACACACACACACACACACACACACACACACACACACAC